ATATATATATATATATATAAATATATATACGTATAAGGTATACGATGTTGTTATTTATTGTATTTTGATTGGCTTGTTATAAGTTATAATATTATAGTTTGAAATGTATAACATTTTTGTGCAAACTAAATGACAAACTCAATTTTCTCGAAACAACATATATTTAATTCGGTATTATTAATTTGTACAGTTTTTCGCATGAAATCATTTATAAACAAGATAAATTACTTTGAAAAATTATTTTAGTTAAAAAAAAAGTCTTATAAGCCACAATCACAATTTTTTAGACTTCATCTCTGTAATGATCTGCCTGATGCCAGGCATCCAAGAACTGCAAACTGAGGCATTACTCATCATGAGCGAAACGTGGAGCTGATCTGCTTTTTCCACCTCACCTTCCCTTAGGGCTGCAAAGACAGTAAAACAGCAGTCATTAATTAAAATTTCTGAAATATACACCAGCAGAACATTTACAAAATACCTTTAGAAACTTCCAACAGTTTCCGATGCACAACTTTGTTAAGTTTATCCTCGTTCCACATGGTCTCCATCCTATCTATTCTCTTTTTGATTTCACCACTCCTATCAGAGTTGAGCTGCTCCATGGCATGGCACAAATTATCAAGGGTATCCTTCAGTGCTTCTTCTTTGTCAATTTCAACGTCTGAATCCTCATCCCTAGCTTTTGTTGGTGCCACAAGTGGCCTGTGCGGAGCTGTCGTCAAACTTCCTACACCCACAGGTGGTGGCATGTTAACCATCGGAGGCATGTTTTGATCTTTGGTAGGACAAGCTGCTGGTTCCATAGGTTTAGAGTTCAGTGGGAATGCCACCCTCTTGTTCATCAGCCTCTTTTTCGGCGTTCCAGTGCTAGAATTTTGAGATGCGGCCGCTAGAGCCCAGGCTGGTGGATCATTCCAGCCAGAATCGTGGGACGTTGGTAATTTTTTTTGCATCGAAACTGCATCTGATGGAAAACCACATATGGAAACAATAGTTTTCAAATGAATATTTTGATTCAAACAATGACTTACTCTCGCTGTTTTCTTCCATATTTATAAACCACAGCTTGAAATCTCGATGTTTATTTTTAAAAGCTTTTAATACATTTTTCTTACCACACACTAAAAAATTAGAGTTACAACTTTAGTAATTGGTATATTGTGGGAAAGCCTGCTATAACAACGAAGAAATGATGTATCACCATCTGTGAATTTTGACAGTATGTATATATATTCCACAGCTCCCACGAACACGTACGGTATATGTTATGTGGAGCAGAATACTTGAAAAAAAAAAAAAAAGAAAGAAAAAAAAAAAACCCAAACTCGCGAGGCGTGGGCACTCGCTCTCCAAGCACGCGGAGTATAAGTAGGAGGTGCTCACACACACACACACGGCTTAAAAAAAAAAGTCCTCTCTGCATATTTTGTATATACACACAAGTGCATGCATATGCACGAGGGGAGTCGAGAGCTGTGGCTATAAGCCCGAGCTTAGCAGTGCCGGACGAGGCTCTCCCCGAGGACCTGCAGATCGTCCGTCGACGATGGGGGAAACAATTGGCAGTTTATAGCCCAGGCCCGGGGGGCCTCTTACACATCGTATAATAATACCTCTCGCCCCCTCCCCCTCACTCTCCCGTAGTGTGTTATCGTTTATTAATACCCTACACATTCATCGTTATCATCACTTTTGGGGGCACCGCTTTATCTGCAGGTACACCTGTAAGCACACACCACACCTGATATTATACATGATCTCAAAGTTTGTTGATTTGTTTACAATACATATGTATATGCGTGTGTTTCGTTTCGAGGAGGAGGAGGAGGAAGGAGGTACTTATGTACTAGAGTCCGGACCACCTGGGAGATACGTGCTGCAGCAGCTGTCCGTCTGCGGTATAACACAAGTGCATGCCGAGAGGGAAAGAGAGCAAGGCACGCACGACGACAACAGCGTGAGAGCGAGATTCTTCCTCTCTTCGATATAGTGTCACTTGATCGTTTCTAAAGCAAGTAGGTACGTACACATAATATATATGCATGCAATATAGGCGTGTGTTTTAATTAATTGTGTTTTTCGGACCAACTAATACTTCATCCTCCTCCTCCTCCTCCTCTTACTCTTCTTTTGCCTGACGTGCGATGGATATAATAATATCGCGCTCATTGCTTATTGGGGTCGGAGGGGAGACAGCATAAATTCCGGAATGTGTGTGTTTTCCTAAGGGCTAATTTTTGCATTCTTCGAACTTACATATTTATACATTTTCATTCAAAGTGAGATATAATACATGGTAATTTATCACAGGTATGTACGCTTGTTTTATATATTGTAACGGCGTTTTCTTTTCTCGCTGCCTACGTATATGATGTACGTGTGTCGGGGGGGGGGGGGGGGAAAAGTTTTTTTTTGGGAAAAAAAAAAAAAAAAAAAAAAAAAAAGAAAAGAAAGAAAGAAAGAAAAAAAAATTAATGAGATTAGGTATTCGCTACGGGCTGCTATAATTAATTTACTTCTTGGGACAGTGTGTACATATAACGGCTCTCGGGCGTATAACTGGCAGATATTATGATAGACTAAATTTTATAATTTCAAAAATATATGTTTACCAATGGTCGTAGTGTTGTAGTTATCAGCTGTAGCAATGTATACTGATTGCCCCTATTTTTGTCATCAGCTGTTACCGGAGCCAAGCTCGTCGAATCCAACGTACAGCGGCACTGTATAAGCTACAGTATATATACAGCAGCAGCAGCAGCAAAATAGGCACCAAAGAAACAAACAAAGCATAAACAAAATCTCAAGGATGGACAGCTCGGAGTACGAGATGGTGAGGAACATGACGTTGCTCTTCTTCTTCGAGCGGCTGATGGACAAGGGCGGCCCGAGGTCCCTCCACGACCTGAGCTGTCAGTTCGGCGCCAAGGGCTTCACGAAGGAAATGCGCCAGATAGCCGGTGGCTCGCAAAGTGGCCTCAAAAAGTTCCTCGCCCAGTACCCGGTGCTCTTCCGGATGGACGGTGACTACGTGGGCGTCAACGCCATGCAGGCCGAGGCCGAGGTGGAGGACGGCGCGAGTCCGGGTGTGAAGAAGCGCGACTACGCCCAGGAAGCCGTCGAGTACTTTTCGCACAAGCTGCTGCAGTACGGCGAGGGCACCGAGGTGCCCATCAAGAGCCTCCTCGGCCACAGGTCTCAGGCATCGCCCGAGGTTAGGCACATATCCGGACAGCACTTTCGGGAATTCAAGGACTTTCTCGCGAGGTACCCCGACGCCTTCGTCGTTATAGAGGACAACGTCGTGCTCAAGCAGTACGAGGGTGTCAAGGCCAAGCCTTTCAGAGAATTGGGTAGGTTCATATATATCAAGTAATTGCGTATACCCACACGGTAGTTGTTGAACGCGTACTAATCGTTTCGGTGTAGAGCCGGACGTATCGATGGACCCGGAGGTGACAGCGCGTCTGCTCGACTTCCTGGAGCATTGCATCGAGCAGAAGGGCGTGATTCTCGTGGATCAGCTGTTCGCCCAGGTGGTAGAGAGGTTCCCGGAGGGGGATGCAATGTTCAAGACCCAGCAGGATCTCTCGGCTTTCCTCAAGATGACTCCCGATGCTTTCCACGTGCAAAGCAATCTCGTGACATTTATCGGCAGGCCCAGGCAACAGCAGAAGGACAAATCAGCTGCATCGACCCCGAACGACCACCAACAGCCGAATGACAGGACTGCCAGGAACAATAACAACAGCAGCAGACGAAGCAATCACGTCTCTCCCCGGCTGATGACCAACAACAGCAGCAGCTCCCAGCCCGAGAGCCTCACCTCGTCCAACAACAGTGCCTCGTCGACCCAGCCGAATTCGCTAACCTCGCCGCATGAGGTGCTCATTGTCAACAACATCAACAACAGTAACAACAGCTCGGTTTCGCCGCCCGTGAGTCTCCAGCAGCAGACCCTCAAGCAGAGGATCAACAGCCTGCTGATAAAAACCCTGGCTGAGAACACGGAGAGGGACAGGTCGCTGCAGAACGCCGTGATAGGCGAGGCCCTCAAGTCCAAGGTTTCCCAGCAGACGAAAGTCGTGGTCAGCGTAAAGGACTGCTCGGCCGTGGTCGACGAGCTCATGTACAACAGAAAGTCGATGGTCGATGGCAAGTGCGTCGTCTCGTTCGACTGCGAGGGGATCAACCTCGGGCTCAAGGGCAAGATCACCGTCATGCAAATAGGAACGATGAGCGGACAGGTCTACGTCTTTGATCTGATCACGTGTCCCAACATCCTTCAGTACGGTGGGCTGAGGAAGCTCCTCGAGAGCGACGCGGTCGTCAAGGTGCGCACAAGTTACTTTTTTTTTTAAATCGACCCACGTGGAATGTTGTATGTGTACAACTCCTCGTTTCAGGTGATGCACGACTGCAGGAACGACAGTGTCACTCTGTTCTACCAGTACGGGATCACCCTCGCCAACGTCTTTGATACACAGGTGAGTTTATCGCCAAATTGCTCGCTACAATTGTATAAGCTAATTTTGTCTTTGACTCTGTGTTTTTTTTTTTTTTTTTTCTTCAGGCGGCTCACAGTGTCATAGAATACCAAAACACCGGCAAGCCGGTCTACAAGGTGAAAAACGCCACGCTGAATACTCTATGCGAGTTTTACGGGGCGCCGTGCAATATGCTCAAGGAGCAGGTGAAAAACATATACCGGCGGGATCAGCGCTACTGGGCCCGGAGGCCGCTTACCCGGGACATGATAGCCTACGCGAGCAGCGACGTGCAAAGCCTAGTGCCGCTCATCTACAACGCCATGGCCAAGTGAGTCGATCGTTATTGCAGCTTGCTCGTGCAGGGATACATTCATTTGGAAAAACTCATATTTTTGCTTCGACAGATCGATTAAGCCAGAGATGCAGAAGCTGTTCGCGGAGCTGTGCGAGGAGCAGGTGCTGATGCACGTAAATCCAACGGAGGTGAAGACGCGGAAGAAGCAGCGTAAGATCGAGACCGAAGTGGCCGATCTGCGCAGGAAGATGGACGAGAGCGTGGGACGGACCATTGTGCTAAGCAACCGGGAGATCCGGCTGCTGCGCTACCTCGAGCTGACCAAAGAGGAGAAAGACAAGCTCAAGGGTAGCTACAAGGTCGCGAAGAAGCTCGAGAAGCTCGAGAGCATGGGCCAGGACAGGAACGAGAACAGCAGTGGCGAGGATGACGACGAGGACGAAAAGACCGAGGAGACCGAGTTCCCGAGTTTGGACAGCTACACATCCGAGAACTCGCACTCGGGTATTTTCATAATTGCTGACAATACTCTTTTTGAAAAGAAAAGGACAAAAGTAATTTGAGATACCTCTTGTTTGGATAGGGGGAGTCATGTCGCCGCGCAATCTCGAGCCACCGAGTCTGACGGAATCGATGCAGATGGTGGACGAGATCCTGGAGGATGGCTCGATGGACGGGTTCGAGAAGATCGAGCGCCTCGAGGCCATACTGTCGGCGGTGACGGGCACAACCAACGACCACGACAGTACTCGATCGTCGCCCACAAAGTGTCCGTGCATGTGCCAAGCAGCTGGTAACAGTAGGGCCCAGCAGCAACGTAAGGAGACCGCCTGCCAGACCCTCAGCACCGGGGACATAGTCATCACGAGGATATTCTTCACCGAAGAGGAGGAGGAGCGCGAGAGACTGCTCAATTCGCCGAAGTAGCTGCGTGGATGGTGTTACTTTTTGTTGCCTGATTTTTTTATTGTTTTTTTATTTCTCCGTTTTATTAACGAACCATTTTGTACATTTATTTATGCAACCGATGACAAAGTTCCCTTCTAGCGGGGCTAATCGTGTGTGTGTGTGTGTGTGTTTATCCTGTTTCCGAACGTACGAAACGGTGCTGTTATAGAAAAGCGAAACGAAAAGGATTTTGTTCCCCGCGTTGAGAGAAGAATACATGGTGATATCCTAATCTATCACGCATAATTACTTTTTGTCATTGGACTGATTCTTGTCAGTCGAATGCTATTTATCGTATTCATGATAAAAATTGTACTGAAATCCAATCAAAACGCAAAACTGGATTTTTACGTATGTTATAAAAATTGTTGATAATTTTTTTGTTGGAAGCAATCGTGACGACATTAATTGGATACCTTTGCGATCGGATAGATATATATTGTACATTGAGAGAGAGAAATTCACAGACATATGATATGCTTACGTCGAGCGATGAAACCGTAACTTTTATCACGAATGCGTGTGATTACCTGTGAAGATGATACTTTACGAATGGTATAGAATTTTCGGTTTTTTATATTTCTCTTGAAATAATTTATGATCGTTACAACGTAGAGTTTTGAAGGATTTTATAAAAATGGGTTATTGCGGGCGTTGTGCAAAAGGAGACTAATTTTTGCATTAATTAATAAATACCTAAGCGTTGGTAATAACTGCCGTATACGTAATTATTTAGACGATTGATTTTGGGTACTATTTACACACTAACAATAACGAACTGTATTTGTATAGTAAGCAATTGAACAGTTGATGATGAAATTTAGTGTATTAACGTACCTAATATCATGAATTTTTTCAACCATTTAGACAATTTTTTGCATTGTCATTAATGAAAAATTTATTTACTTGGTGCTTGGGTTTCGAAAACTAAAAATCACTTGGGAAATGTAGAAATCGTTCGATCGCGGTTAAAAAAAAAAAAAAAATTACAATTCACGTTGCCAGATAGTTGTAGAAATTATTAATGCAATTAATAAGGAAAAATTTTTTTGGCCATATAAAAAAAAGCTTCTGAAGCATGTATATTATTGATATAATGTTTTGTACAGACTAGAATGTAGTGATTGCCTTATACGATTATTCAAACCGCCTCGATTCGAAAGGTTTTTGTTTCATATGAATCATTTGCCTCTGTGTAATGTAAAACGTCAAATTTTTACAAATCTGCCAATTGAAAGAAAATCCATTATAACATGTAAGAAGAGAGTCAGACCATAGTTTTAGTTTACTTTGCGCTTTTAAAAAAAAAAATTTTTAATCTCGTAACATTGGTTGATGCAACCAACGACCTAGCAATATAATGTATATAATATTAACGAGACAATTTTTGAGACAAGACGTGTAACGTAGAGAAAAAAATTCAATTTGTAATATAATATTTAAAAAACATGGCTTTATATCAAATCTGGGCATATACAGTAACATAGAAATATTTACACAATGTTATATATAGCGTTAATTTATATACCGGAAAAAATTGTGAAATAAACATATTTTTAACAATGTAACTGTCTCATCATTTTAGATGTTCTTTTTTGCTCGATACTAAATCTCACACGGTTGATGAGCTTTTTTATCAGAATTATTTAACCATCCTTGTCCCTACTGAAACGCTTACATTTTCGTAAGAATCACACGCGCAACGCTTGGATGAAAAAACCTTAAATTATGTGACTAATAGTTTACAAAAAAAAAAACTCAATTACTTAATCTTTTCCTCAGCAGTCCACTTTTGGAAGCACTAAATGTAAACTCATTACACAACTCGTTCGTGATAGAATCTCATCATTTCTTGACTCATATTTATACCAGCAGCTAATGTGACAATGTAAATGAGCACTGTTACTGGCATTGCTGCTTGCAGTATTGTATTTGTATTTTGAAGAATTTCTACACCTGAAAATTAGTGCTAATGTAGCAAATATCATTTTTTATCAACACAAGTAGGTATACATCACTCACTTGCATATCCTAAAAATGTTATGTAAATGTAGTAGCTTACAGCTATAAGCCAGAAGGTGTTACCCACAAAACGTGAAAAGAAGTAGTCATGACCAATTAAAACTAAAAGAAAAAACATTATTGCTCAAGAGTATGTGACAAAATTGCAGTCCATTTTGTATGCTATAAATAAAACTTACTGTTATACAAAAAGAGTTGTACAAAGTGCAAGATAAACAAAGGGGGAAAAAATGCATTCAAGTGTATATCGAATGCATAGCCCCACTCTACATCTTGAGAATGATCTATGCGTAAGTATTTGTTTGTGATCACCCTAAAATTCATTATTTTTAAATTATTTCCATTTTTATAATGGCTATACTGTAGGTGGAAATATAATTTACCAAGAAACGGTAGCCACTAAAATTCCCATTCCGATGCAGTCAACAAATATAACATACAAAAGAAATTTTGTAAACTGGATGAATCCAAGTCCCAAGACAATGGCAAATCCAATTGATGACACACAGAGCCAAAGAGCTAGCAAGACTAAAAAAGCTGGGTCATCTCTGGCAAACTGAGATTTCGTTTCTGAAATGAAGATGAAAATAGTACTATTTTTTTTCTCGACATTTAAGACAATTGCAGTGTTACGTGATGCTTACGTTTTCTACTTTTGAAGTTTCTGTATACTTTTTGTGGTGATGTGAATAAATAAATCATCTGCCAACTTGCAAACTCAAAGTCCATCTGGTCGAACTTGAGGAGCTTTCTTAAATATTTGTAAAATTTGGTGGTTGCTCCAAAGCAATCTTGCCTGAAAAATAAACGGCACAATTAATTGGATAAAAAAAAAAAAAATAGTTTTATAAATGTTTACCTGTATGTCACTGGCATTGGTAAAGATGAGCTGGACGACCTAACGGATAGAGGCGAAGCGCAACGGCTCATGGGAGGCGACGTGGAGTACTTCATTATTCCCTCCATTCCCTGGTATCTTCACAAAAAAACTCAGTGAACGCACAAAACCTTTAATACAGATTACAATCGGCAAACACGACACGAACACGATAACACAAGTTGAGGTTAAAAATCATTATTTTTTTTATGCTTCAAATTTCGTCATCGAAAAGTATTATTGAACAACTGAGTATTATCACTGCAAATTCAACACAATCAATGCATCAAAATTAGAAAGAAAAAGCATCATGAACTAAGATGAATGAAATGTAAACATGGTAACGCAGCAGAGAACATCACTTTTGCTGATGACAGTGCCGTGACTGATTCACCATTTATGATATATATATATATATATAAATATATATACGTATAAGGTATACGATGTTGTTATTTATTGTATTTTGATTGGCTTGTTATAAGTTATAATATTATAGTTTGAAATGTATAACATTTTTGTGCAAACTAAATGACAAACTCAATTTTCTCGAAACAACATATATTTAATTCGGTATTATTAATTTGTACAGTTTTTCGCATGAAATCATTTATAAACAAGATAAATTACTTTGAAAAATTATTTTAGTTAAAAAAAAAGTCTTATAAGCCACAATCACAATTTTTTAGACTTCATCTCTGTAATGATCTGCCTGATGCCAGGCATCCAAGAACTGCAAACTGAGGCATTACTCATCATGAGCGAAACGTGGAGCTGATCTGCTTTTTCCACCTCACCTTCCCTTAGGGCTGCAAAGACAGTAAAACAGCAGTCATTAATTAAAATTTCTGAAATATACACCAGCAGAACATTTACAAAATACCTTTAGAAACTTCCAACAGTTTCCGATGCACAACTTTGTTAAGTTTATCCTCGTTCCACATGGTCTCCATCCTATCTATTCTCTTTTTGATTTCACCACTCCTATCAGAGTTGAGCTGCTCCATGGCATGGCACAAATTATCAAGGGTATCCTTCAGTGCTTCTTCTTTGTCAATTTCAACGTCTGAATCCTCATCCCTAGCTTTTGTTGGTGCCACAAGTGGCCTGTGCGGAGCTGTCGTCAAACTTCCTACACCCACAGGTGGTGGCATGTTAACCATCGGAGGCATGTTTTGATCTTTGGTAGGACAAGCTGCTGGTTCCATAGGTTTAGAGTTCAGTGGGAATGCCACCCTCTTGTTCATCAGCCTCTTTTTCGGCGTTCCAGTGCTAGAATTTTGAGATGCGGCCGCTAGAGCCCAGGCTGGTGGATCATTCCAGCCAGAATCGTGGGACGTTGGTAATTTTTTTTGCATCGAAACTGCATCTGATGGAAAACCACATATGGAAACAATAGTTTTCAAATGAATATTTTGATTCAAACAATGACTTACTCTCGCTGTTTTCTTCCATATTTATAAACCACAGCTTGAAATCTCGATGTTTATTTTTAAAAGCTTTTAATACATTTTTCTTACCACACACTAAAAAATTAGAGTTACAACTTTAGTAATTGGTATATTGTGGGAAAGCCTGCTATAACAACGAAGAAATGATGTATCACCATCTGTGAATTTTGACAGTATGTATATATATATATATATATATATGTTTTAGTTTACATCGGAGAGCAGACGACATGTAGCAGAAAGAAAGCAAGTGCGTTCATCCATCTCATATAAAATAAAAAGCACCAATTCAAAAAAGCTGACACATATACTGTTTTGAACAATAAATAAAGCTAAAAATGAAGTAAATAATCATACAGGCTCATCATTAAAAATAATGTATAAAAAAAAATCTAGCTGGTAATTTCTGCACACTGGTTTTTTAACGTTATAAGTACAGCGAGAAATAAGTACACACCAACAAAATCGCGATCACGCGAGCGCACCTTATGTGAGATTAAGATGAGATCAAGCATTTGGCACGTTTTTCTCTCGCCTAAAAGACGCAACGAAAATGTTAGCAAGAGAAAGAAGAAGCTTTTATCGAGAAAGAAACGCTGATGCGCAAACTGTCATCTCAGGTTCTCTTCTCTCGAGTCTCGAGTAATAAAGAGGGGCGCTAACGAAAATAAAAATAAACTTATTTGCTGGTGCCTCTGTTCGACGCAATTCGGACGTTATAGTTAATTGTTCACGCACGTCCAAGTCGATCGGCTGCAGCAGGAAAAACCGTAATATTTTTCTCCATGACTTTTAGGATTGTTTGGAGTATTTTTCGGAATGAGAAAAAAGTTGATGGTGATGGACACAGAGAATTCTATGGGATGGAGTTCAAGGGATTGGCTGTGATTTGATTAATGTTGATCTTTATACACATCGTTGTTAAAAGCCCGATTATTTTTGCAGGGGATGTTATTCATCGTACAAGTTGATTTTGTCAAGTCATCAGTGATTTTTAATTATTTTCTCATCCACACGTGTAAGTACAAATGTGCAAGAGTTTATAATTTACACTGTACAAAACATTCATTTCCTAACATCACCAATGTATGTACCCAATATTGTTCAACAGAGCTAATTTTAGACTTGTTAAATTTCCAATTTTGTAAACATATATGGCATTCCAAATATAGTCGGTATCCAAGCTTATACATGTATTTTTTGGCTAAGGTCACTTTTAATTTTGTTTTTGTAGCACACCAAGATTGAAGATTAATGATCAGCCATGCCTGGAAAAATCAAAGTTAAGATCCTGGCAGGCAGGAACCTGCCAGTGATGGATCGTTCAGCCGATACCACGGATGCATACGTGGAGGTGAAATTTGGCAATACAACATACAAGACTGACGTGTGCAGAAAATCGCTGAATCCTCAGTGGAATTCCGAGTGGTACAAGTTTGAGGTTGAGGATGCAGAGTTGCAGGATGAGCCACTGCAGATCAGACTAATGGATCATGACACTTATTCGGCCAATGATGCCATTGGCAAGGTTTATATCAATTTACATCCTTTATTACTGCCGGGTGTTCCTCCACCAGTTAAGAATATTTGGACGTTGGAAGCTTCTATGAATACCAGTATGACTTCTCAAGGAGGTAAATACATTTTTCACCAAATTTTCACTTTGTATCTTAATCTTAAATGTTACTGATTTATTATTTTTCCAGGGTCAGTTATGACTGGTTGGCTTCCAGTGTTTGACACAATGCACGGGATAAGGGGAGAAGTCAACATTATTGTCAAAGTAGACTTATTTTGTGATTTCAACAAATTCAAGCAATCTTCGTGTGGGGTTACGTTTTTTCACTGTAAGTTTGAAATTTTTCACTGTAAATTTTTTTCATTCGCTTGTAAGACAACATAAGTAGTTGGGATGCATAATTTTGTTCAAAGCTTCTATTGTGCCACATGGGTATCACGCCCAGGTAATACATGGGTTCATAGAAGAACTTGTTGTAAGCGATGACCCGGAATACAAATGGATCGATAAAATAAGAACCCCAAGAGCGTCAAATGAAGCGCGACAAATGTTGTTTATGAAGATAAGTAATGAGGTGCAAAGAAAAATTGGTCTCAAAGCTTTGGATCTCGGAGGGAACGCCGTCATAGGGTAAGACGTCAGAAAATATTAAAAAATAGATGCACATTTGCGAGAATACTGAAAGTTATTGTATTTCAGGTACATTCAAAATTTAGATCTCGAGGGAGAATCTGGAGTCGTTGCCAGAGGCATTGGCACCGTCGTCACACTTCTCAAGCTTCACGATTTTTCGACTCTCCCGAACGAAGCGACCGCAACAGAAGAGTACGTTTTTAAATTTTCAAATCAATAACATTACTTTTTAAAATTATTATTGCTTAAAAAAACTATTGTCGATTTACATTCATTTTGAAATAGTAAATCCATTACGTAATCTATGCAGGCTCTAAATACTCTTTATATTGGTGATTGGGTAAAGCACGACTACAAAATTATATTTCTTGTTTGGTTTCGCCCCTACTTAACAACCTCGCATGTCACTGACCTCCCGATTAATAAAATAAAAAAATGTTTTACTAAAACTAAAACGAACGGCCTCAATCAGGCTTGATTCGTCGAGTGTAAAAACTAACAGAGCACTACCATCCTCCGATTGTTCAGAGTCAGAGAGCAGTCCCCGCTTGCCACCTCGACACCCGCATCATCCTCAACATCACCATCACCACCATTACAACCACCACCACAACCATCACCACTCCAGCAATCTCGCCCCTGTAAACAACAACAACAATGGCAACGGTACCACGGCCCCCCAAACGATCCTCGGCAACAAATTCCCCCTGTACGGTGACAACGTCCCCCTGCAACCCATCACGCCGTTGAAACTCGTCGAAGCCAAGAGCATCCCACCGCGCCAGCCGTCCGTCCAATCTTGGACGAGCTCGCGCCGCAACTTGGACTCGAGCTTGTCACTAGCCGACGATTTCCTCGAGCTCGAGATCCAGCCTCAGGCTGTCGGTCGGTTCTCCCGTGGCTTCAGGAACCTGAAACACCTGGCCAAGCGCGGCAGGTCCAAGACAGACTCGCTCGACGAAGAGAGCGACCTCGAGAGCTCTTGGTCCAGCACGTGGTCCATCGGCTCGGACTCGGCACGCTCGTCTTCCATGTCCGACTTTCAGCTGACGTCCATGAGGAAGAAAAGATTCACGCACAGGAAACAGACTGGCGAGAGTATGGCCGCTATGCTCATCAGGTCCGTCCACGTGGGCGGTGGACTGCCTCTCGACATCGTCAAGGTAGGCGTTCAATATGCCAATGTGCAATGTGCCAAGCAGCCGATGAAATATTTGTTTTCTTTTCCTAAAGGAGGATCGAGAGACACCGACTCCGTCGCCGGACAATTTTATAGATGGGGACGACTTGGTACTCGGGGTCTTGCCGATTACTGAGAAAAGCGAGGAAGACGAAGAGCCTCTGGTAGAGGTAGCGAAAGAAGCTCCTGACGAGAAGGAGAGCAAGACCCTTCTGGTGAGCTACAGCAAACTGAAGGTGCCGGAGGAAGAGACGGAGGCACCGATTCCCATGATCTCGTCCTCGGAGTCGGATACCTCGAGTTCAGAGGAGGAGGAAGAGGACGAGCCCTCGGAATCAAGTACTAATTACAATATACTCGACGACACGCTGTCCCTTTTAGATCCTAGCTCGTCCCCCGAGCCTGACAGCTGCGAGCCGATGAACACGCCGTTGCTGCTGAGTTTACTTGCTTCTTCCTCGCGTATGATACTTTTTATGGCTGTCTTTTTTTTCTTCATTATACTGCTATTTCATTTCGTTCCTGTCTTTTTTTTGCTCTTCCTAGTTGATGGATAAACTTTTTTTTTTTTTTTTTACTTTTGCAAAGGCGGAACGAAATGGTTACATTATTGATGGAAACAGGCTGTTTGCTTCTAGAATTAGTTGACGACTTTCCCTTGGATTTTGCGTGTTTTTCAAGTACACACAAGCTTTGCTTTTCCTTATACATGCGTAGAATATTGTAGATTGGTCAACTTTTTGTTTGGAAAATATATCTAGAGACTGGCACGTTTGGATTCCTCGATAATGTGCTCCATAGCCGTATGCCCCTTTTTCTCTCGGTACTTTTCTAAAAACGATATTTACCCATTTTCCAGAACAAGTGCCCAACGAAGCAGCAACTACAGAAGAAATAACTCGACTGATCGAAGAGGCCGCAACAGACAATAACCAGCTGGTCAGAGAAAAAGAAGAAACTTCCGTACTGATAGACATCGGAAAAAGCTCAGAGCCACAAGCACCCCCGCCACCGTCAGCCAAAGCGCGCCTGCTCTCGATAGACGACATGCTCTCCTCTGAATTCTCCTCTGATGTCGACTCCGACCTGCCCGTGAGCGCCATCCCCAACGACTATCGCTTGAAGCGAAACAGAAAACACACCTCGCCCTCCAAGGTCCCCAAAATCGCGCAGAAACATCTACCAGAACCTTCAACTTTATCACTAGCGGCTGTACCGAAAATCGCAACTGAAAAGTCGAAAGCCGTCAGCCCGGAAAAGTCACCCAAGAGCGTCGGCCTCAAGTCCCCGAGGCACCGGCTGCACAAGCAACTGTCCATCGTACAGGCGGATGACGAGGACCTTTCGGAATCCTCGGAAGAGGAGTACATGCCAAAGAAGCGCCCGCCCCCCTTGAAACTCCCGGAGATAGTACCGTCGAGTAGCTTGGATGACGACCACCACGCGACTAGTCGGGAACTATCGGTGCCGAGTCCGACGATCGATCCACGATCAAAGTCCCCCCGCCGAGTGGAGCGCACCGACACCGTCATCTACAAAGGACCGAAAGAAAAAAACGCGGAGCAACCGCTATCGCCGGTCTCTCCCACCGGTCGCGACACCAACCACCTCAAGGTGCCGAGCGTCAACCTGAAGGACATTGTACCGAAAAGCCCCTTCCCGGTCGCCGTCGAGTCCAAGAGCGCGTTCATCTTCCCGGAGGACAACGAGGTAGCCGAGATGCTGGCCCGCAAGTTTCGCCAGTCGTGCATGCTCGAGCTCATCCGGACGATAGACACGCGCATGCTGGCGCACCACAACTCGGAGTCGACTCGCCGGCGCAAGCACCTCGCCCTGGTCAAGAACAACAACCAGACGCCCTCGCCCGACTCGAGCCGGCACCACCAACAGCCAAGACGCCGATCCCGCTCCAGATCCCCAGAGTCGTCCTCGTCGCCCCGGCACCACCACTACCACCACCATCACTCGCCGCACTCGTCCTCCCTCCACCACCCTGGCAGGAGCCACCACGAGTCCTCCGAGAGCATAGCCGAGCGGCCGCCCCGTAGTCCCAGTCTCGAGCCCATGGCCGAACCACTCAGAGCCCTCGCCCAAGCCAAGCCCGACAACCACCACCACCACCACCACGTCAGCCACGCGATACCCCCCGCCGAGAGCGACTCCCTAGAGATGCATGCGCTGCGCTCCCGCGAGAGCTTTAAAAACCCTGGCCGACCCGTAGTTACCTCCACGTCAGCTCCCATCTCTTCTACCACCGCCACTAACGCAAATGCACCCAGTAACGAGACTAATGTCACGACTGACTCGGCTAACAATGTGTGTGTGCTGTCCCGTACACCGTCCACTCGTAGGCAGCAGGTCCAGCCAGTCCAGTCTCAGGACAGCCAAGCTACCACCTCGGCCAGTCCGACTGGCGGTCAGGCTCAGCAGCAGCAGCAGCCGCACGTCAAGGCCACCCAGTCGCCGAAAAACCCACCGGGGATTCCCCTGCATCGCAGGTCCAGCGACTCGGACCTCAGCATCACGCCCAAAGGTTGGTTTCTCTCTATATTTTTTTTTTTTTTTTCTTCCACGCGACTTTTTCTCATGCACCGATAATTTTTCTCTTCTTTGCTCCGTTTGTCTCATCTGTCTATTGTTGCTCGCCACAAGAGTCATTCGGTACAGAAAGTGAAAGAGAAAAATCATTCGTGCATTGCAAAAAGTTCAATTCTACCCAGCAGATAATAACAATAATAATAATAATAATAATAATAATAATATTTGTACATGAACACGAGAAAAATGCATATGATATATTATGTGCAAACTTATAAGTACGTGCATTCTCCTTATGTGCGTTTCTTTTTGTTTTTTCTGTTCCATTCGCGTTGTTTGCATACCAGCAGGATTTTATAAGTTCTTTCGCGAACGTGAGTACCAGCATAAGAAACGACCCTCGAATTGATGTTTTCATTTTTCGTCGTCCCAAACCACACTAACATCGCTCATTTTTCTTTTTCAATTAATTTTTGATTGATTGATTTTTTTTTTTTTTCTTCATTCTAACAAGTGCACTTGCCATTATGAGTCATGCCAAAGGGGAGATTTTTTGGTTTTTTTCTCTTTTATTTGTCAAATAAGGTAATAAATGTTATTGTTCATAACACACGATCATTCACGCGTAATAATTTAAATGAGCGTGACATTAAAAGGTAACATTAAATTGAACATTGTAGATAAAAGTTTAATGAAGAAGGGCAGATCCTTCCGACTTCGATCGGGTCGAGGCTACGGTTCGAAATCGATGCTCAGCGACAAGAGTTCAGGTGCACCTCATGACGGTATTACACCCCCCGACCCTTTGTTTACTCTGTTGTCCTATGTTATATATATAGCAAACAAATCAAGTTAATCGGCTGCTCGTTGCTTTATCGTCGAGACCCGTTTTATTTTTATTTGTGTTTACAAGAGCAAGGGAATGAAAGAGAGCTTTTTCTTTCGGCAGGATAGCTTATTGGTTGATACTTACGCTCTCCCAATTTCGATTCTTATCGAAGTTAAATTGCATTTGTCATTGTTAAATGGAACTTTGACATACCCTCGATTTATCAACCATATATGGCTTATAAATTATTCAAGGTGTAAATTGATTTACTTTGAGTTTTTTTTTTTTTTTTTTTTTGTATCAGCACGAATTTTTAAATTCCCATGAGTTATTGTTATGGTTCGAGTTATCTATTATTTCTCAATTTTCAACAAGAAAAATCTGTGACTGTCATTGATGTATGCACAAGAGGACCATTCAAGCTACCATTTTTACTTCAACGTTTGATGAGATAACCCACATAGAATTTCCTATGAACATAGTTTTTGTATGTTTACTTCCATTATGTCTACAAAGTTATGCGAACGAAAACACTTTTTTACAGAACAACAGTCGTGTACCAACTATTCAAGTTAATTGTTTCAACTTTTTTACACTGTAAACATGTCCCATTTTAATGTATGTACGCGTGTGTATCAACATATTTTGATTTTTTTTTTTCAAGTCTTTGTCAAATTTTCTCATGATGTTTTCTTACTGCGAATGTTAAAAACCTATACAAGCCACCAAAAACCACTACTGTATAAGTAAACACGTACTACTTTAACTAAAAATACACGTATCAATAGTTTTTCGTAACAAATAAAGTCCCCACCTAATATGTGACACATAAGTGTACGTTACCACACCGAATGTTAAATCCAGTGACCTTCGAAAAATAAAGTAATTAACAAATTTGTACATTCCGCACGTTCCTTTTTTGTTTTTTGTTTTTTTTTTTCTAAAAACTCTAAGTGCATCCTACCCCCTCCCCCCAAATCCTTTACTTCTCGGACGCCGATCAAAGGCGACCCGAGACAAAAGGCCAGTTCTCTCTAAATTAAAGACAAAAAGAAGCATGTATACGTAAAGGTAGCGCGTGTCCGCCTGTCTATGTGTACGTACATGTAAAGACGTCAACGAAGAAAAAAAAGGAAAATAAAAAAAAATAAAAAAAAATAAAAAAAAACCTGTAGGAAACTCGTTGACGGGCAGCGATCGCTCGGCCGGTGGTTACTTGAAGCCCTCGAGTGCCGGGGTCGTGCGGACGATGAATCAAGAGGCCCTCGAGATGCTCGAGTACCCGTTCATAACGATGCAACAGTACCCGCCCGGCTTTGTCCTCCACATAGGTGAGCTTTTTTTTTTCTTTCCGTTTCTCCCCTGACCCGCCCCACAAAATCCCCGATGCGAAAAATAATCTTTTGTACGTTTTTTTTTTTTTTTTCAATTAAAAAAAAAAAAAAAGGTGGATACGTGAGCGCGAGGTCGGTCAAGCTGTTGGAGCGCATCAGCAACTTGGAAGAGCCCGAGGGCCGTGACTCCTGGTGGACGGAGATACGGATGGAGGTGCGCTCGCACGCGCGCGCCCTGGCCTGCAACGTCGTGATCGGTTACCGCGAGGAGACCAGCATCAGGTAGTAATTTGTAGGCAAACCAAACTAGTACGTATAACCGGAGGGGTCAAACGGTCCCGTTGTAGCGAGGACGTGTGCGTGTTGAGCGGTACCGGGACGGCTGCGGTGATAAACCTCCACAGTACGGGCCAGGACCAGGACAACGTGCTGATAACCCACGTCCAGGGACAGATGACGGCCTCGATGGATTCGGACAAGTTGGCCGGCGCGGTGGCTCCTGAGAAGCGCAGCGGGCCAAAGGACGCGTCCGAGGTTGCGAGCGTGGTCACCGCGAATTCCGTCTCCAACAGCCAGCAGTTGCCGATTTGTATGCCAGCTTCGGCTGCCGATCCGGCGACCAGATCGGCCAAGCAGCGACACACCTCCGAGAGCAACGAGCACGAGCCCGTTTATCCGCTCAACTGTGGCGTTTGTCATTTGCCGTACAACAAGAGCAGCATGAAGTTCCAGGTGGGTCCCTATGGTTTTTGCTCGGAACATAGGATGAGCTGTAACTTTTACGAAATGATGATAATTGTGTGTAATTTTGAGAATTACAATTACAATTCAAACACCTCATGAAAGAGTCACGGTTATATTTAAACACCAGGTGAGCGTGTCAAAGTGCGCCATGTGCCGGCGAGCCAAGGTCCCGGACGTCCTGATGTCGACCGTCGAGCTGCCCGACAGCATCCCGATGACGGGTCGAGGTTCCCTGATGCAGGCGACGGTCTGCCGCCCGAAGAAGGACCTTCGCGGTGAACTCAACGCCAAAGAGATCTCGGACTGTCTGCCCTTCCTCGAGTACGAGCTCTACAGCCTGCTGATCAACAAACTCCGGGTGCGCGGCATGAACGCGGCCTTTGGTCTCCGGGTGCAGGTGTCGATCGGCGAGCGCTTCGTCATCGGCATGGCCGTAGGCACGGCCGTCTACTTGACGGCTCTGCCGCCACCCTCGATGCCACAAATAGCCACGGACTCGCTCAACAACGAGGGTAAGGTTTCCGAGATGCAGAGGAGCCTCGTCGACGCTGTCAAGAAGAACATGGAGTTCTACCAGCTCAAGCCTCTGCCGGTTGGTGGTGCCTTCGTAAAATACTCCTTAAAAAATTCAATCTCTCTCTTTTATATCCAGTCTTGTTTGTTGTTTGACCGCTATATAAGGACGTGGAAAACGGGCGCTCGATGTCGGACACGGACGAGTCGGAGGAGGAACTCCCGGAGTTGGATCTCGGCCTTGGCATGAAGGACGTGTGCGTGCTAGAGGTGGACGACGTCGAGGACATGGACCGTATCAATTTGCTGATTGACGAGAGGCCGCCAAACGATTTCCACGTGGTGAACACGGAGACGATACCGGGGCTCGAGGATCTCGAAATCGTTCGCAACCTCCAGATGTTCATACAGGTGCGTTGTCGGTCACGACCAAAGTGTCAACTCGATTATTCACTTTGTCGCTGTTCTATCAGGTCTCGCGAGCGAAAATCCCAGCGGGCCAGGCCACGTCGATGCCGTCCAAATACTTTGCCAAACTGCTCCAGACGGTGTACTACAAACTGAGGCGTATGGTGCCGTGTGCTCTGTGCGATTTTCAGTTCAAGATCATCATGCCCGAGCAGGACGAGATCCAGTTGACTCTCGTCGGTATGGCCCTTGGCCTTGGCGAGCCGACCCGGTTCAACAAGTACCACAGGCGACTGCTTTCCCACTCCCAGAGCAAGGATCAGGTCAAAAAAATCCACGACGACGGTGACATGATATTCAGCCTTGACGAGGATCAAGCTGAGAGTCAGGTCGCAACGCAAAGTGTACAGTCGTCGATGTTTGGCATGGGCTCGGTGCACAAGCCTCGACCGCGCTCGCCTCTCAGGCTCAAGCATACGACGTACAGGCACAAACACGTGCCGCTGAAGGAAAGGTACGGGGTCGACATTACTCCTCTGTCTTATCTGCCTGGGGGGAGGATCGAGAGGTACTTGGGCAACTTGAACTTCTTCTTCATCAGGGAATCCAACTCCATTCGAGAGGTAAGTTTTGTTTGAATTTATCGTGATTTATCGAACCGTAATGTGTCACTTGAATTTTTCCAGAGCGGGGGTCTCAGTGGCTTTATTCACAATTTCGTCACCGAAGTGCTGGCAATAGTTCGTGCACACATCACTGCACTTGGTGGCAACGCGATGGTCGCTTTTTTCATGAACCAGTGTGTCTTGCTGCATAGTCCTCATAAAAATCAGGTACGTTTACGACTTTTGAAATGAACGAATTTTTAGGAGCGGAGAAATATCACTGTTTTAATTGGTGGCGTTTTCTTTGTCTTTTTTTTACAGGGTCAGTGCCTGATAAACGTGGGCGGGGATGTGGTGAGCGTGTCGTACTTTGGCAACGACAAACAAGCCCAACCACAGCAGCAGCAGCAACAATCCATGTCAAGTGCGACTACGACGGGGGTCAGTTGCTGACCACAACTGCCACCAAACTCCGCGCCCCCTTAGCCCAAGCTTGGTTTCCGAGCTTTTAGAATTTTTGAGCCATGAATCAATCGTAATATTAGTAATTTGTATGGACTTTTTTTTTTTTTTTTTTTTTTTACTGATCTTGGATTTGGCGAAAGAACGAATCTCAGTGCTCCCAAAGATAAGTGTTCGTTTAATGCCGAAGCATCTGTAAATTACAAGGTAATTTTTATTGTCTACTTTTGTATACGTGTTGAAAAACAGTTACGAGAAAATGACGGTATTCGGACATGGTCCTGTTGCACGTTGTAAAAATGTGTGAGCGCACAAATATCGAACCCGTCAAAGTAAATCAAGAAAAGCTTACTCCTAATCGTGGATGTGCACGTTTATTGAATTTTTAATAGTTATTCAGCATCCAAACCAATTGCTGTTCAACTATTAGGAACAATTATTTGCGTAAGAAAAATGTCAAAAACAAGGATTATCTTTGCTGACATTTTCAAAAAGTTTTAACATTGCAGCATCTCTCCTGCATACGTACAATTCAGAAAAAGTGCGTCAACTGTTCCCAGCAAATTTTGTTTTTCATGCATGTATATTTTAGGTAGCGGCTTTGAGAGCTCCTGTGCAAGACACACCCCATAATCAAACAAATAATTAATTCATGTGTTCATTGAATAACTTGTCGTTCATCCCTCTTTTCCGACATATAGTGACAATGTTTTCTGACTCGTCGTTTAAATATACTGAAATAACAATCAAATATTCGAAACATCCATATGTGAGTATTCCGTAAGGATGCCTCCTCTTACAAGAATCCATACCTTGTTGGCAGGTACTTATCAAACAGTTTAGTCTCCCTGAAAAACGCCCAATCTCCTCACCGGCAAGGCTGGCGCTTTGTGCCGTAGCATCTCGGATCAGCTAAGCTTATAATTTTCTTAAACTAATGACTATACAGTACTTACTGCTGTTTCGCACTCCGCTCAGGCTTTTTACACCTGTGGGACAAGGGGGGACTCGAAACCACCCTGAAGGAAAATTCAGGAAATAAATGCGCTCCGAAACAACCAGTGTCTGCTTAGTACAATTTTTTCTAACAAAAAAACAAAAAAAAATTCTTGACCTCTAGAATATAGGCGTATTGTGTTATTATTGAAATCAAAAGTCAATGTTGCATAATTACTCATAACTTTACAAAATTTTCTCAAATAGCAAAGCAATAGGAACAAAGTAAAAGCAAAACAATTGCCGCGGCGCTTCCTTTTCAATGATCAAAGTTCGATACTAGACTACGCACGACTAGTACAATCACATCTAAAATGCATTTATTACACGCACGTGTATTGTATTGGGTTTTCATCTCAGAAAGTACACGCATAAAAAACAATGGAGGGTCTTTAATTCACTTAGCATCAGCAAAGTGTTGTTGTTTTTTTTTAAGAATGAACGCTTGCAACTATTGGCGTTAATTAAATGCTATAGATGCAAATGTTGGCGGCGCGAGTGGTGCGCGCGGGAAATTCCAGTTCAAGGAGAACTGTAGTCTACTACCGACTTGGTTATCAAAACGAGCACCGAGTTTTCCCTAAAAGCTTTACCTACTTGCGTTGAAAAGTTTAAAAAAAAAAAAAAAAAAAGACTAGTGATTGTTTTTAGATGGTATAGTTGTTTACTTGATGCTGCAAGAGTAGGTACTGTTCTACTGATATGATGATTTTTTAGTTTTGAAGTAATAATCTCAAGGAATTTATTGCAATACTAATTGCAAGTGCGGACAAGACGTGATCTAGTATATATACCTGCATCATTATAGGAATAAGTTAACTTGATGAATCTCCTGAAACAATTTGTAAATAGTTGAATTTTGGAAAAGTTGAGTGATAAATACCGATATCGTGGTATTGAAAAATAAATCCGACGTTGGCAGTCGCGCAAATTTACGATATTCTTGTCATAAAACGAGAAAAAAAAAATGTTGCTAGCTTTAATAGTTTGTTTGATAAAAAACGTTGTAGCGACTAGACAAATCTTAAAATGTTAAACATCGCTCAAACCGATGTTAGCGTGATCTGTTTTTTTTGTATTATTAATATGCTTTTTCTCATCAGAAAGGATTGTTTTACGTGTACATACATACCTCGTCATTACCTTTTAAATAATAATAAATATATTTATTTTGACGTACGTGCAAATCAAATGTATAAAAATCAATTGAATGGGTACGCTTTATAATTTATTAACTTTTTGTCTGTAAATAATGAATTTCGTCTTTTTTTTTATTCTCATTCAAAATGGTATGTGTGAGGGTGTGCTGTGATTTTATGATTTCGTTGAACAATCGCTATTTGTGCAATAAAAGTAAAGCAATGAGTATCTCACGTGTGAGTTTGCCTCTCGATGTTTTCACGTTAAATTTTTTGTATGATAATTTACTTCTTTGATAATGAGTAAGAATCGTTTTACAGGTTGGTTGAATAGTCATAAATAAAACAATTAATTTCGAACAAACGATGATGACGAATAAAAGTGTTTTTTGTTGATTCAAGTAAAAATTGTAAAATATAGTTTAATACAGTTAATAATAATAAACGACAATTTGTATTATTGTCATAACATATCCATGCATCCTATCCTAATTTTTCCAGCCTTTAGTGAATCTTTTGTAATTTTTTTTTGATACCGCAATTAAAAAAAAAAAAAAAAAAAAAAGAAAAAAAAAACGCGACAAACATGCCGAGCAAAGAAGACAAACCAGCACTTTACACTGCAGCGAGAGTCGCTAGTTGTGTGTGTTCAAAGGTTAATCTATTAGCGAGTGGAGTATTTCATTAACAAAACAATGACCCTCTATTGTGATATTCCCCTTTCTGCCGACGAGTCTCGAATAATTCGACTCATTTGCATCTTTGTAATTCAACGCAGAATCTACTTTCTTTCTATTGCATGGATGCATTTTAATTTTTTTTTTCTTCCTTCCATCGCGCGAGTTGATAAAAAAAACGTAGAATTCAAATTTTTAGCTTGATAACCATACTCTGATGACGATATTTTGTCATGTACATTATTTAATATTGTTAAAACCGTTGAAGCATAACAAGTACTTGAAAATTTATTGGGTTCGAATTAGTTGCTGATCACTTTCACATTTTTCATCAATTATTAATTCGACCGTAAATAACCGTAAATAAGCAAACTTATATGAAAGAGACGTGCCATTGGAAACTTAATAAAAAAAAATTCATGACAGACGTTACATAATGCTACATCAAACATCAAAAAGCAAAAGAAAAATATAGCTGGATTTCTCTGAAAGCACTTTTATCAAATTTTCCGTCTTTTTGATTATTCGTCAAATGTGGCTGCTTTGCACACATTATAAATTCTTCATACCAGTGCGTATCATCGAACGATCATCATCGCATGAATGTTTTAAACATTTTTTTTTTTTTTTTATTATTTGTTACTCATATATCGTCTCAAATATCTTCATTGCAGCCTAAAATAAGTATTTCAATTATGAAACCAGCATAAAAAATTAAATTAACACGTACCGCCAACTGCATTTTCATTTTTCATCTAAATAACATGCATGAGTTATTCATCGATTAAAAATTTTTCCAATCCGCTTAAAAATCATTGGATCGCAATGAGTAGAATTTCTTAAAATAACGAGTCCGTATACAAATTTACAAAAAAAAAAACTGTTCAAATGATCTTGTAATTTTTTTATTTTCAAAAAGCCTTAAAAAATTGATAAAATTAGCTGCAAGCGAATGAATGATCATCAAAATAGTTAAAAAAAAAAAAAAAAAACTATTTCTTAAAATCATTAAATTATACCTAATGTACACTCAATTGTTCTATTTTTTCTTCATTACACACACACACACAACGCAGTAAAGAAGAAAACCTTCAATAGTCATCGAAATAGGCCGTGGAGTCCAAAGTGTCGGGGTCGGCCAAGTCTTGGATGAAGTTGGAGAAGATGTCGCCGAGAGCAGGCGTCGATGGATCGGCAGCTTCCTTCCCGCCGAGGCTCAAAGGTTGGGCGTTCGGGTAAATCGGCACTCCAAGATCGGCTAGCCGTTTGGCGATCCCGATGTCCTGAGCAACGGTGCAACAGTACGTGTAGCCGAGCAACGGCAATTTGAACTCGGGATACCTGTCGGAGCACTCCTTGTGCTCCGGGCAGAGCGGCTCCACAGGTGGAACGACCCCCATCGGATCGTTGATCGTGACGAAGACCAGGGCTTGGTTCTTGGCCCGGTCGACCACGTACTTGAAGAGGTAACGGGGCACCGTCACCGCCGGCCTGGGCGCCATCGGCTCGTTGGTCGTGGTCAGAGTAAAACTCACCGGAGCTGCGACGGAGGAGGATTAAAAATCCCAATAACCCTCGAAGGAAGGAAGGAAAAGGATCGAAAAATCGGTACTCACCGCCCATGGGGTTGTTGTACGCGAGAGCGTCCAAGCCACCGGAGTACACGTCGAGGGTCCTGCAGGTACGGCCAGCCAGGTTGCGGACCGCGTTGCCCACCTGTCTCCAGTTGCCGTCGTCAATGCTCCTCCAGACCGGCACCGTGTTCACGTAGTAGTACACGCTCCTCTGCTGCTTCCGGTAGAACATGTCGTCGACCGGCGCCAGCATACCCGGCACCAGGAAGTCGCCACCCGTGGCAGGGATGACCCGATCGACGAGGACCTGGTTGGCGGTCAGGGCCAACAACCTGGCCCTCTGGCTGTCCCTGGTAAAGACGCTCGAGTCGAGGACCGTGTCGTTGTAGAACGGACCGGTGGCAAACTCTGGAACCTCGTCCAGCACCTGCCGGTTCTCGATGGCTCCCGGTAGCTTGTGGTGCAGCCAATTGGTACTGGCCGAGGCCTCGTCGTGGCAGATGGTGTCGATCGTGCTGGCCCATCTACCGTTGGCCAGGGGGAAGGCAACGCGGGCCGTCACTCCCTTCGGACAGCCGAGATCGGTCCTGGCCAGCCGGCCGGCCGGCGCGCTCGGACAAGTCACGTTCTTCAAAGGCGACGCCAGAAAGTCCCGGCCCTGCCGAGATATGTATTAATCTTTGATGCCCACACTTGGGGGGGTAATACATGGTTGGTTTGCTTCATACCACGCGGAACAGGTTGACCCCGTAGCAGGTGAGGTCGGCGGCGGTGCGACGCAAGCTCTTGCCGTAGACTTGGAGGTCCCCCTCGGTGCAGGCGACGCGCAGGGTGTCGCAGAATTGGAGCTTTATGCGCTCGGAGTTGCACTTGTTGGGGTAGAAGAACTCGTCGCTGGTTCGGTGCAGCAGTAGGGGGTGGGCGTCGCTCAGGCCCTTCTTGACGTTTACGTTGCAGGTCAGCAGCGAGACTGCGTTTTGCGAGGCAATTAATTGGTTGTTTTTTTTTTTTTTTTTTTTTTTCTCTCAAACAAGGGGCACTTACGGGCTGGGAGGATGCAGCAGGAGAAGAGGCACGTGGCCAGAAGAGCGGCCGACTTGGACGTCATGGTGGAGGCAGGCGGTGAGTGCAGGTGCTCGATTGGTGTCGGAGGTGACACTTGCCAAGCACCCTGGCTCGCCGCGTTCTTTTATTGGTGGGCTTATCGGTGCCATTATTTCGACTCGGAGGTTGCCCAACCCGGGATACGTGGAAGGAGGCCGATGGTAATCTGCGTCACGGGTATACCCGCGAGAAAAAGTATACAGACGAAATTTCGCATCTATATCGTTCTATTTTCGTCGTCGTTTTACCGATTTCGTGCAACGAAAATACAATCGATTACATATCCCAAGGCCTCGACAAGTTCTCAACTGGATCAGCGTTGACATCACCGATTGCTCATCCGTTTCACCTGCGAAAAAAGAAAGAGAAGAGCGGGGGAGGACGAGACAAAAAAAAAGTAGGTGATCGATAAGATGTTAAAAGAATCGATCGATGAACCGGTAGAAAAAAAAAAAAAAAAAAAAAAAAAAAAAAAGAGGAAGGTTACGAGGAAAGCGGGCGCCCATTGTTTCCACGACACGCGCGATTCAAATACACCGTTCCTCGCTAGATCTTCCTCAGATAAGACGAGCGCTTTACGTGGCGGGCGTCTCTTTTCTTTTCGTAAAATCTAACGGTTCCGCGTGTACTGATAATGATCTCGTTCTTCGGGAGGCGTGTGTTTCTTTTTCTTCGATCATTTCAAGGACGCTGCGCTTGTTTTTCCATGCCCTACAGGAGTGCGTCAGTATGACGAAAAATTTGGATAGTATTTCCTTGTGGTGTATTTACATTGATTTGTCTTGTGTAAAAATATGGAATTTCGCGTGTCGAGTTTCTATACGTATATCCGTGTCCACTTCTGTGACTGTTTTCAGTACGAATACGATACAGATAGCATCAACGAAGAATAATCACAAGTCGCGCAGAGGAAGACGTTTGGAAAATCTTTTTATTACATTTTTTCTATTCACGAATATATGTTTAGATAAAAAATAATAAAAAAAATAAATAAATAACAAATAAGCCAACGGAAAAAAAAAATGTTGGATGGGCAAGGACGGTAAAATAATTTGATACAAATGATGTGACAATTTAATATAATTGTGGCCATGGATTGAACAACTTGTTGAGCGCTTGATAACACACAAAATGAACTGTCAATAGATAAATACTAAAAATTTCAAATTTATTCCTGCAATTTTTCATCGAAAGTTTCATTCGATCAAAGTTTTGAAAATACATCAATTACAATCTACATAATTTTTCTATACTGTTTATCTTTTACCCCAAAAACTAATATACCTAATTCGCTATTTTTTATTCTCTACAAGGCAATATTTTTTTGGCACAAACAGGTGTGGCTTTTCAAGTAACAGTCCATCAACTACTCGTCCTTCGAGCGCTCAACTAGATATACTCCAGGTCATAATTTTTATTATCATACCAAGGTATTAAACGTTACATTTTTATTCACAAAATTTTTTTGAAAATGCTTGTCAAACAAAACATGGACTAAATTAGTCAACGCTCGAGTTGTACATTGGAAAATTCTTCAAACACGAACAACTGGAATAACATTTTCCTTATTTTTCCTCGAGGATTTCTTCTCATCCCTCTTGGACCAGGGCACAGGCTTGGCCAGCTTGTCCTTGGTCAACAGCCCCAACTTCTTGTACCCCAAGTACTGTTTCAGCTCGTCCAGACCCAACT